TAAATATAACCCGTAGTCTCACGAGTACAGTATATATGTATCATTCACATTTGACGAAGAACAGCAGATAATTATTTCACGCGGCTCCAACAAAAAAGAGGAACTTTAGGTCTTTGTTAGAATGGTTTGATACACCAGAAAAGCACCACAAAAAGCACCATTGCATAAACCTCGATTGTCCGGGAAAACAGCCTGATGCTATCACCTAAAAAAATCTCACTTTTCGTTCTTCAAAGACCATCAAGATTCCAAGTCAATACTGTATGAGAAGAAGGAAGCAGCTCAAATAATTCAGTATTTTCCCTAAAGTTTTGCTTCTTCGTACAGACATGACATTTTGAAAAAATTAAAAATAGATGCTCTGAAAATCGAGATTATGCGGTTAATTACGCTACTCATAATTATACCATAGCAACAGCAAAAACTTTACATTACTGTATTAGAGAAATCCACCACACGAATACTGGAAAAATTATGTACTTCACAAGGCCACAAAAAATTCTGAAAATAAAGAATTCACCAGAACCTGTTCGACTTTAACATTTCGTATATATAAAGCCTAAGGAGGAACACATCCACGTGCTCGCTCAAACAGGTGCAATTCTACTCGGACACTGAGTCCGAGTGCTGGAATTCACCCATGACTCAATTCAGCCATTCCGCTCGTAGTTTTTTGAGCATAATTTCTTCCAGGTATCTTTCCAAAATGACGAAGCCACACAAATTCGCGACAAAAGAAGAGAGCTGTGATCACAAGGCTCTCTGAATGGAACAATGATTCAACGCGTCGCGGGCGCCGTTCCAACGTACACAGAAGACTTGACTACATAAAATACCCTCTTTCCGACAGCGAAGCAACATAATACAGTACAACCTTTTTCCATTGGATGTCAAAGTATTGATACACGATTTCGACCTCAAAAATAATTCCACAAGATCCGATGTTTCCCGAGCACCGACGCAGCATCAGACTGCGGAAATCAATCCTTCGCAACCCTTCAAGAATACTGAAAAAAAAGCCGGAACTTGTTCCAGGTTTTCATTTCGAGAAAAAGTCGTAATCCGCTTTCAAACATAGCTTGTAAATCGTAATCCAAAAAACCTGTCAACTTTCCTGTCCTTTTCATTTCAAGGAAGGTGGAAGATACGATCACGAGGGAAACGAGAAAATTTCCGGCCTTGAAGGAAAACCTGACGGATGAGTTCTCACCTATAATTTAAAAAAAAAGGGGGGGGGGGGACTACGAAATCACTCGAAAATACATTTCACGAGTTCCATCTGAAAACCGCGATGAGACAGAACAGCCTCTCATCGCCTTCGTGACAAAGTAAATGTGCCTAATTTCCTCTCTGCTTTCCCGACGAAGAAAACAAGCGGTACCCCAATTTCCGCCCGTTTCATCCCTAATAAAAAAAATCCCCAGCTGGTAAGCAACCATTTCCTCGTAATTAGCAAGATAATCCTACAACGACGGGTGGAAGTCGGCCGTTACACTTGTCCCTCGGTCGACGTCGTCATGCGGGAAGTTCAGAGGTCGACGTGATGCGACGCCATGTCGTGTCACACGGTAACACCAAATGCTGCGGATTTCCGCATTCTCCTCACCAACAGACCCCCTCCAACCAATGGCAAAAAATAAATAAATAAACAACCCGGTTTTTCTGCAAACGATACAGCACCACCATCGCCACCCCTCGCACCTGTTCGCTCCAGTACTCAAGAAGTTCGCCGGGCTTCTGTTTCAAGGTTTGAAAACATACCTCCTCAAGCTCAGTGAAGCTAAGATCCCCACGGAAACACGTCAGTCTTCGCAACACAAGGGTCACGGGCAGAGGAAAAAAAATCTAGCCAGATTTATGAACGACACGAGTCGTTGGGTTGACACAGATAACGAATGAAAAATAAGAAATTCTACTCGACCGTGTAGCCAATCACGAGACGCGAAGCATGCTGAAAAAAATTATAAATAAGGTTCTCAGTATGCCCAACAGGCTGAGTCAGAATCCTCAAAAAAAAAAAAGAATACACTCGAGGCAACCCTCTGTTCGTTTGCCAAGAATTTTCGGGACTTTGTGTACAATATCTTGCTCATAAATTGGCATTTTAGGACAACACTCCCATGACGCATCAGTAGAAGAAACATTGCCAAGATTAAACGCTCTTTTTCCCTTAGAAGTTAGAACACCCATTTCAGATCTGAGATACGGATCATTTTGAAAATTTTTAAATGATTCGAAATACAGTACTGTATATCTGAAACTTGAAAAACATGTAAAATTGGCAGCTAAACTTGAATTTTTCACAAGGATGACGTACACACCCCCTTCTCCTTTTCATTCAAAACATAAGAGCAAAATTATATTACCATCTGTTTAAAAATCTTGGAAATGGGAACTGCGGTTAAACTGAGAGGCGGAAGTACCGTATGAATCAATCCTCACGCTTTTATTTTTAGCAGAACTACAATAATATATTTTCCTACAGCAAACACGTGAATTACAGTAAGGCAAACTAGTTTCCGCTTAAATTTTAAATTCGTCTACGCGAACTGCTCCAAGATACTCGATGTGAAATAGTCTTCCTCAAGACTGAAGAATAAGCGTCAAAATGCAATGCAAATGCAAATTTATTCGCAAATAAACGATCACTGGAAATCACCAAGAAAATCGTTTACACCACACAAAAAATCTCTGTAACCCTCCCTCATCTATGAATGGCAATAAAAAAAGAATTGACTTCACGGCGCCGGACTGAATATTAATTCGAGGAGGATGAAAAAGGTATTAAGCTAAGTAATGGTGAATTACTCAGATATCACGATACTGATGAATTATCTCCGACACATCATTAATAACTGAAGTCTAGTCCCACTGTGGAAAGTCACAAGTGGTTGCCGAATACTGTACTGTGCGTAGTGCGCAGTTTCCAATCGACGTTGAAGAGTCGAACAAAAGGTATTGATACAAATTGAACATGAACTAACACTCCATCGTGCATACATAGATTGCGATCCAATGAAGTCGAATCCTAAAAGTTTCGCAGAAAACTTAGGAAAAATCTTTCTAAACCGAAAAAAACATTTAAAAATGCTGAATGAACTATGAGGGTTGTCACAGACTCGAGCTTCCTTTACAGTTGGCAAAGTAATATTTCATCATTCCTTGACCCATTTTTCCAAGTTATGATCACAAATTGAGAATTGAAAGTGCAACCCATCACCATGAGAAAAAGTAATTACCGAACTGAGAATTTCTGTAAATGCTGTAAAGTAGTATAGCCATAAAGATAAAACCAGTTTCCATTAAGATCTGAAAACTGATGCGTATCCTTCCTCCCCTAATTTTTCTCATGTTTTCGTGTGACAACAACAGCAAATCCTAGCAACATAAATTGTTTTTGTAACAAAAAAGGGTTCACTTTTCATGCCTGACTTTAATTCATGCCTGACTTTAAGCGAGAATCGCACGCACTGTATCATATATTGGTTGAATTTTACAATGTTCTACGAGAGGCACTAGAAAATGTTAACGAAGTTGAACGGGCAGCTAACTGAGCTCAGTTGAATGGCGCTCAGTTGTCTCAACATTCAGCTGGGTTTAGCGCTCAATTGACCCGCAATGAAAAAATATGCGAATACCACTGTTGCTTGTTTTATGAATTTACACGCAGTCCAAGAGCGAAAACGTTAACTACGATATATAAAATAGATGAAAATATCAACTGAGACAATAATTCAGACCTATCAGGTTTTCAGGTTTCGAAAAAAAAACAAAATTCCGGAGTCAGTGATATTAAATGCGAAAATTGTTCCGTAATGTTAATTGGTGAGCAAGACTTCGTTCGAGTAAAGGCTCTCATTGGAACACCAAAACAAATGAATGAAGGCTCTTTTCATGTCATGTTATGGATGACCAAAGAACTCAATATTCACGGAATAGGTTTCTAACGAAAATTTACAGTACAACCATCTCTTGCATTTGACAACATAAAAAGCTGTTATCTTCGACCAAGAAATCTAATTTTTTGGTCAATTGAAAAAATCAGTTCATTCACGAAAAAAATTTGACTGACAATTGAAACCAACCGTTACGTGATCGCAGACAGAACTTGAGAGAATCCCATCACAATTCGCACGTATTCTCGCGTTTAGCAGCGACCTAGAAGACGCGCATATTTTTTCCCCTCGACATTCCTAGTTCGTCGGGACGTTATTAGAAGAAAATAAAACCGGGACGGCGATCTCCAACCCCTTCGACATAACTGTCGACTTAGCTTCAAAACAAGATGTTGACTAAGCACAAACGCTCATGCAAAAAAAAATGAATAAAAAGAAAAAGATCGCTGCTTTTCGCAAGCGTCATTACGTCTTTTCCTGTTTCTACTAAGCGTTCGAAATGCTCATACACTTAGCGGTGTCAAGTGATGGTAAAAAACGTGAGGAATGATGACAAATTGGAACCTCGGGATATTTCAGAGAGTGGAAATGTTTCGTGTGGAGGACGAAGTTTTACATCGTAGAATACTCGAGTCTCTCAGTTCGTTGTTACACAGTACAATACAACATAAAAAAAGTCCTTCACATTTAGGAAAAAAAAACATTAAAATGACCCGAGACAGTAACAAAAGAAAAAGCCACCGCTGTGACAGAAGACTGGAATAGAACTTCAGTCCAAGATATTTTCCTTTTTTCCCTGGATAATATGCGCCGAGACACGTGACTGCGCAGCGGAATTGCATGACGAGTTTTACTTTTAAACACTGACGAAACAGGAATCATTTCAAATACAGTGTACCAAAAAAACACTTCCCTGGCTTCAAAGTACCGATATTCTCTTTCATTCGGGTCTGATGTTCTTCGATGGAAGATGAATGTGTAGATATTTCAGGTCAGAAGTCATTCGAGAAACCATCGACTCCCTCACAAGCACGAAACCAATAGGTATTTAATGGGCTCGCCCAGCCAACGTAAGTATGAAATGGCTTATTGCAACACCTCGGGTCACCGGAGCACACGACAATGCTAAAGGTCAAAGTCGAAGGTGACGGCGTAAAATTCAGTGCCCGTGTGTTCTTCATAAAGAGGAAATTCTTCCAGATACTTTACCGTAACACGCAGAACGGATGTGAATTATAGCAAAACGAACTAACCTCGGAATGGATCCAGGATAGCCATAAATCTTGGACTGATATGAGTTTGTCATTTTTGTGGAATGCTTGTTGTCTCGTCACTGAAGATCCACCTTCCAACTGCAGCTCTTCACGCAAAAACTGTGATACAAAATTCAAAGAATGGATTCCCTTCTCTAATCATGTACAGTAATGCTCAACATCTTCCGGCAACATCTGATTTTTTAAAAAATCTTTCAAAATTTTGGAATAATACTCGTGAACCCGAAAATTACACGGAAACAAATTCATTTATGAAATGCTCTGAGATGTCTTCCAGCAAGAAGCTATCACAACAATGCATTACAGTAAAAAATTATTTCTTTGACAAGCTAAGAATATAAAAATTTAGCTACCGATGATTGAAGATGCAAAATATTTGGGAACGTTACTAGCGTACTATTGTTTTCCCGCGACCCAAAATCGGACGTCAAAGGGATGCCAAGATGAAAAAAAAAAAGTCTTCTGCAGTCATTTTCGGACCAGAATAACGGACTTAACGCCGGCAAGAATACAAAAATCAACCCACATCGTTCGACTCCGAAATGTCGACATCGCCGTTGGCATCATCATCAAGCTGGCGATGCAATGCTCGAATGGCTTCGTATTCAAGTCTGTCCAAGTAACACTGTTCGTCGTTAGTCCCTTCACACAGGGCTTCCATAAAAACTGAACGAAAAAAAGGCGTGGAATTTCTAAGCGACAGAAATTGAAGTCTCGACGTACCATCCATGCGAGTCGGAATCTTTGGTTTCATTGGTCTATCACCGATAGAATCTTCATCTTTCTGAGATGAAGAGCTGCCGAGGCGCAGAAGGAAGATGGCAAGCGCAGAAACAACTACCACAAGTCCATGGGACAATCGAATACCGGAACTTCCGCGTGATGGAGTGACCATCGCAAATGAGCAACGCGTTCGAAAAACACGTTGCTCATTAAACACTGTTCGTAAATATCCCGTAAGAGTGAAGAGAAGAACTCTCTTCTCTGAGAGTAATTAGTAAGAGTAAGAGTAAAGCAGATTTCCTTGAAATCAATTGGGAATCGAAAACAAAAGACACGCAATTGATCGTATGGATTCTTTGACTAGAGAATGGACGAAGAGTTCAAATGATAATCAAACACATATTCACAAGTGTATCACACACGGATGCCACAGGGCCATTGATGCAAGAGCACGAGCTGGGCGACGGCAGCTGACTGAGGCGCAAGTCAGGGAATGTTCGGGGCATGGGCGGGAGCCAAGTATTTCTGTATTTTATCACAGAGCTTTTACTTCTCCGCAGCACATTTTAAAAAAGAAACATCCCATCAAGTGAGAATTAAACACGAATACACGATTGAAAACTATTTCACCTTTTTTGAAGCAAGATCATTTCTTATTGAGATGTTGTTTTGGTATCAGCGCTTCCGCAACCGCACTTCGGGGGCTACTAAATTATATCCAAAGATCAGGTCCTGCTTCCAGCAATGGCATCCTTGGCCATGCAGCTTTCAATAGGTGGTCAAAGTGAACTGCGCCAGCAGTGCGGCGATTCGTGAAGTAAGCCAGCAGCCACTCCAAATTTCCAGTATATTCTGCCCACAAAGTGTATATACTGATGTACTGAAACTCTTATGCAGTCGTTCCCGTGGGCCTCCGAGGTCTCAAGTTCTACAAAATTCTTGAAACGCAATTTATGCTTCTCGGGAATTCATTAATAAGCGGAATTCGCCTACTACGAACCCTTGTCGAGTTTTGCCGAGAAAAGAACCGCACACAATTTGGAATATTCACGATCAGCTACATATATACTGTATAGGGAACCTCACGGAATGGAATTCGTCACAAAATAACTTATCCTCTGAATATTTGCACATAATCTTCCGATGAGGGATCACATTAATTATTCGTACATTACGCAATACAGGTCTTCAGGTTTGAGATAACACGAAGAAATTTTTGATAACCGTACCTTTTATAAATACTGGCGGGCAGTTCTGCTGCGTAAAAAGGAACTTTTTGGTTTCCTTCCGAAGCGCCGCATTCATATAGCCAAGGACAAATTGAACGCAAGTCTATCGGTCTTTCACGGTGATCCATGCGCAAAGGAAACTCTATGATAGTTCTCTAGTTCACTCCTGCCGTCTAAATAAAGCTTGTGCTTTGGTCGCAATACCGTAGCTATACACTGCCTGACGTGAAGCAACCACTGGTGTGTGGAGTCGGACAAGTTCACATACAATAAATTGTCGAATTCTAATGCTGAACCGTATGAATGGGGCCCCGCCCCCGCAATGTGGACATCATTGGTGCGTATTGGACCTTGTCCATGTCAGAGCACCTGTACGAGGGCTCTAACAAAAGTTCTTGGAATGGAAATGAAAATGGAGTCTAATATCGAGCTGAAAAAAATTATTCTTTAGGAAATACATATTCTTTGGCACACGAAAAAAATCAGCCCTGTTTGACAATTGTTTTTAATGTTATGCAAAATTCCCCCTGGCAGAGTTTTGCTATCCACTCAATAGATATATGAGGCGCCCTTCCTGCAGTTTTTTTTTTTTTTTTTTTTAGCCCAGCTTTTCCCTCAGAATTCTTGAAACCAAGGTGGCACTAATTCCAAGGGTTGCCTCCAGATCTTCCAAGGTAATTTCGCCATTTTCATCTTATGAGAATATAGTTCCTCAAATTTTGAAGGTCACGTTTTATTTTCAAATGCTGCTCATCTTATCCTCTGAAAATTTTCTCAATTTAGTGAATCAACTCCTAAGGTTGTATATGATGGATCTCTCGTCACTAAGAGAAATACTTTGAACTATAGTAATGACAAGCTTATATTTGGTCAGATAAGATAAACTACCTGTATACTTACACTGGTTGGGAGAAATTAACTCCGAAAATTGACTTCCCATACCTTATCGTGCTTACGACATGGCATGGAAGTTACATAGCGTGTAACAGCAGCTGCGAACCCATTATGCGTAAAAATTTAACTATCAAAATGAGAAACTACTTGAATTAATAAGATCAATTAAAATTTCCCTAAAACATACATCATTCCGTATATGTAAAGACTCGAAGTGAATAAGATTAACTTGATTTTATACAATACGTTATCCAGCATCGAAAAAGGCCATCACGTAATTTGCATTCATGTGCAAAAGCTTTTCAGAAAAAAAGTTTCATCTGCCGAAATTATTGCTACTATATTCAGAAAAGACGCCGCAAAAGTTGGCTAAACAGGTGGACTCTTCCCGCAACGAACAAAATTTTAGGGATCACAAAAATGTGTTGTAGAGACAATTTCGTTCATGCGTATCCCTATAACACGAGCAGTGAACCGTATATAGGTACAACAATAAATTTTGTTTTACACGGAGAAATATCATTCTAGAGAGAATCTACGTGTATTTGATGCAGTATATCAAAGGTGTTTTCAGCTTTTACACTTAAGTGTAAGTTGTGAAATGACGTTCACCGCAAATTTTGTTCCGCCAAATATTTTTTGGGATGCTTCTGTAAACGCAATACATACAGTGTTATTCTTATCGTGCTGCCCATCATCAATATGACTCAAAATCCAAGTGCAAAAAATAACTTTGCAAAACCCAATTTTACTTCAAATATTTCGAAAATACCACGGAAACTAGCGACATTCATGTGGCTGTTGCTACCACCTTAAAAAATCCCCCTGCATGAAGATCATGAAATTATTTTTAAATTATGGTCAAGTTTCTACCTCTGTATTTGCTTTGGTATTATTGACGTTACATTAAACATCACAAAAATAGTGTCACCGGGTTACTGAACACCTTCTCGACATCGCGTTTATATTCATTGTACAGTACTGTACCGTAATTTTATTTTCCCTACAGCTTTAAATAATATTAAAGCTGAGCAGGTACGTTTTGGAACTCTTGCAAATGTGGGAAATGTGTAAAATTTGTGATCCAGGCATTTTTTGCCAAACTCATTGCCCATAATAAGAAGGCATAATAAAGAAATGAACAGTTCAGTCTTGTAAGAGTCCTATTTTTTTTCAGAGAACCTCATCTTTTTTACAATGAAAAAGCCTTCTTCCTGGGTGGCCTTTTTCGGCATCCCTATCATCGAATTAAAATTAGAGATTAAAAAAAAAGGGTTAGATCTCCTGGGAAATCTTTGAATTCTGCTTTTCTCATGTTGGAGGTTTTACCGTTGGTCACCGAAATGTAAAAAGAGAACCCTATAGTTCTGCAGCTGGTTGAAAAAGAACCCACCACGATTTGAGGGCTGAAACACGTTCTTCCAACATTTTCTTCAAAACTCAAAGAGCCAAAGTTTTAATTTATAAAGCAGTATAGCAGCCACCATTAAAATGAAATATTGCTCTAAAATGTGTTTACTAATTTGGTCTACCTTGTAAAATCTTTGAAAAGAATCTTTGAATAGAAGATCAACTTTTTTTGAAATTTTCCTTTAAAATCTACAGAATAATCATATCCAGGGAAAATACTTTTAAAATCTTTCCAGCTGGCTAGTAAACCACCGACTCCACCCCTTGCCACCACCTCTGAGTTGGGCACCATCAATGTCTCAAAGGAACCACTCATTCCCTGCTTTTCCACATATCCACCAAATTGTACAGTACCAGCATGAAGTCGTTCAATTCGTCCCCCCAACTGTTATGCTCGCATGGTGCTTCTCAAAATACAGCAAGGCACGACTTCGCGTTTATATCTTGGAAGACGCGCTTCACATATCCTCCGAGGTTTATAGGGCGTTTTTAAAAGGAGTACATTTTGAAAAAAATTTCCCTCGTCGTACCCTTTGTACTGGTGTGGGTATGTGGTCCGCTTCCTGCTGACCAGGAAACCCAGAAGGAAACGAAGAGCCCTTTGTTGAGGGGTATTCTTCGGTCCGCGGGATTACGGCGCATTCGTCCTCTGACGACTGACTCGAACGGTTATTCCGCGGAGCTGTAGAACTGTCTCTCAGAATTATGCAAAAACTCTAAAACAAAATTATGTGTTCTGCCTGTGAAAAAGTGATGCAGTTTCCTTTGTTTCTTATCGTGCTATATGATCCGTGTACTACCTATCATTTGCTGTTGTCGTGCGGTTTTCTCTTCAGCACCAGAGGAAACTTTTTTGTTCTTGGAAAATTAATTTGTTCAGGTCTTCTTCACACCTTGTTGAAAGCGAGTTCTTCCAAGAGAAGTTGCTGGTTATCGGGGCTGTATGAAAAACGAAGGCTCTTTATTAATGAAAGATGCAAACCCTTTGGCGTATTTTTTTGGTATATGGAGCGAAAATGAGCTCAATATTGAAGTAGTGTAAATAGCACAGTAATATGAATTTAATGAACCGACATTATAAGTTTTCTTTGCCCAGATTTCGACCTTCTACCACCTTATAGTAGCTTAATTTAACCCAAATTTCAAGCAGCTGTAAAATACTGAGGTGTTAAAAAAAAATTCGATGCGCCTTTGAAATATTTTTTCAGCAGCTAGCCCGTTCGAACATTAATTAAAATTAAAGTGATTTAAGTCAATTTTTTCAAAGCTGCCAAGCTGATTCCTGACATGATCACCCCAATTGAAAGGCTTACTTCATTTGTGTGAAATATAGTTCCTATACTTTCAGCCAGTATGATTGAAAGTAAGTCGATATATAAATGATGTATGACATAAAAGACGAAAGAACTCGCATGTCCGAGATATTCTAGTAGAAACATCCCGTCATAGTGAACGGTGTGGAGGAAAGACAAGCCACTTCCGATATTTAGGCATTCAATTGACGGGTTTCGGCGTTCAAAACTCATTAAAGCTTATATATGGAGTTCTTATGAGTTATGACAAACAAGAATGAAGGAAACACTTCGTTGTATGTATTGAATCCGCAGCTTATTTTGAAAATTAATCTGTTCACATCACTAGGTCATCCATCTAATTTAACCCTACAACAGCAGAAAAGAATGCGTCGCTGATCCATCTTTTGTTTTTCGTTCACATGGAAATATATAATAAATTGTGAACTCAACATTTTCATAACAATCGTAAACCGAGCGGAA